TGATTTACTCAACAACAAAGCAGACCAAGTAGATACTTACACAAAGGAGCAGATAAATGCTAATTTTTATGATATAACTGAAACATATGACAAAACAGAAATTAATGTATTATCAAATAATATTAGTTCAAATACATTTTTAATAGGTAATCTGACAATAACTTCAAATACAAATTTTGATAATATTTCATCAAATACAAATTTAATAAATAATTTAAATTCTACTATGACAACTAATTTTAGTAACATTAGTTCTAATTCTAACTTAATTAATACAAATTTCAATAATATTTCATCAAATACAAATTTAATAAATAATTTTAATTCTACTATAACAACTAATTTTAATAACATTAGTTCTAATTCTAACTTAATTAATACACATTTCAATAATATTTCATCAAATGCAAATTTAATAAATAATTTAAATTATACTATAACAACTAATTTTAATAATAGTAGTTCTAATTCTAATGTAATAACGGAATAAATAGCACAATAAATTCACATATTATAGCAATAACAGATTTACAGAATGGAGTTTCATTTAATGAATCAGATTACTATAATAAAATAACAACTAATAATTTATTATCAAATAAGTTAGATACATCAGTATTAAATAATACATTAATTCATAATATAACAACTACTTCAATTTTCAAAAAAGCAAATTTTGGAAATTATAATAGTTTCTTTGACATGTATAATAATTATTTTGATAGTTATGTTTATGGAAGTTTAGCAGGTTCAACGATGTTTTTGAATCAACGTGGTTTTGGTGATGTAGAAATTAACAATTCTTCAACTTTTCAAAATGATAAGATAATATTAAATCATAATACCACAATATTAAGTAATTTACAAGTATCTGGTTTATTTTCGTGTTCATCTATGTTAGATGTTGCAGGTTCTGATGCTAGATATGTTTTACAATCAGATGGATTAAGTGGAATAATAGCAGGAAATACATACAATTAATTCAATAATTACTATCAATAATTCACAGGATACATCATTAGGACAAAAGTTGGATAAAATAGATACTAACGCTCAAGCATTACAGGTGCTATTAATTTTAGTGATAATACAACTTTACATAGTAATTTAAGTATGTTGACTACTGGAAGTATAATATGTAATAAGTTTAGCACTACATCGTCGCCTAATGTTGGATTGCAAATGACTTTTCAAATGTTCAATCGTGAATTTAATATCAATAGAGATGGCAGAATGTGGATGTCAAGCAATGGTAATCAATGGGAAACTCAAATCGGAGACGCTAATGTTGGTCATGTATGGGTTAAGGATAGGTTCGGTTTAGGTGCTGTTGGTGTTAATGGTTATGTTTTAAATTGTGCTGGAAAATCGAGATTTATTGATTCAGTTGATTTTATAGGAACTGACAAGGCAGTAAATCTTAACAATGGTTCATATTTGAATTTTAATAATAATGGTTCAATACAAAGATATACACCAGATGCCATAGAAGGTTTATATATGTCTCATCATGATTTCGTTGCTATTAGTGTTGGCGATGTTAGTAATGCGTCTAATCAATATATGATGTGTGATGGATTAGTGAATAAATCTATTTTTAATAAACCTGTTGATGTGTTAGGTAATATTTATACAAATGCTGCTGTTAATTGTGATAATGTTAATATTGATACTGATGGTAAATTAACAATTGATACAAATTGTGAATTATACAGATATGTTAGTGCTTTTTCATCTTTTGATATGAGAAATACTGACGCTAATTCTTCAATTAGGTTCATTTGTGGAGATCTTGCTGTTCAATCTAATATAGTTGGAGCAGTTAATATTTCTAGCGGATGGACTTTTAATACTGCTACTGCTGATTTTATGGGTAATTTATTTGCTGATGATGTTTATGTTAAAACTAATGGAGCATTAAGAAGCAATCATATAGCGCCTAATGGTGGAACATTAGTAACCGTTGATACTAATTTAGCAGTTTAAAATGCATATTTAGCAACTAATACCATTCAATCATTTGATTTAACAACGGTTTCATTTTTGAATAATATTTCAATGACTACTGGAACAGACATAAAGATGGGAACGATTGAAATATCAACTTATTACGATGGAACTAGTTTATCTACAATTGATGTAATATTCAGAACATCAAACACTGCGTTTAGAGTAGCAGATAGTTCAACTACACCTTCTGTTTTATTATCTATTGATAAGACATTTGGAACGACAGTGAATACTGGAAGTTTTACAAATAATGCTCCATCAACTTTTAATGAAAATGTATCAGTTTTAGGAACGAAATTGCTATGTAATACACTAGAACCATCAACAGGAACTAATATAGATTTAACAGCAACAACCGTGACGATTAATGGAACATTTGTTGATTCAAGTGACTCACGATTGAAATACGACATAGTCAATATCAAATATAATTGTATGAATGTCATTAAGAAATTTAAACCGAAGAAGTTTAAAAGACACGATAGAAATGATGGTGGTAAAACTCATATAGGATATATCGCAGATGAAGTATTAAAAGCAATTCCTAAAGAGTTTGAAAATATTGTATGTGACCCCTCAATCTAGCTGCATCTTGACAACAAGAGCAAGAAGGCAGGGATTGATTTCGACATCAGGGTCACTTAGTGGAGTTCTCCGACCTATCTCCTCAATTTGGGTTCCCAATAAATTGTGGCATGAGCCAACTCCAAAATCGACGCTCATCTTGCAGGAGGGCACTCGCTTGGCACTGCTCCGCCTCTTGCTCTTTTCCGGCCCCATGGATGGCGCCTTTTGCATGGCGCCTCGGTAGTACATGGCCACTTGCCGTACGGAGGGAATGCGATTCCTCGAAAGCGATGAAGCCCTGAGGATCAAGAATTCAACCGAAGGGTGTTGCTGAAAGGCGGATTTTCTGCAACAATGTTGAGTTTGCTCAGAGAGAGAAAGAGAGAGAGGTAGAGAAAGGGAGAGAGAGATGATAGCTGCTTGCAGGCACCCAGCATGTGCGGTGCGGGGAATGGTTTGACCACAGCCGATTTTAGGATCAATCCCGGAAAAATAAAGGTTATCTTTTCAGGTGTTTTCTTAGCTGAAGATCCTCCTCTAATTATAGCGGGACACCCCCGTACTGTGGATGGACGAACTCCTGCGCCGCTTTGAAACCATGGGCACCATGGTTTGTTGGTATTTAACAGGGGAATCAATCATCATTCCAGGGGGTGCGAAATGGATTTCGTCCATCCACAGTGGTAATGATCCAGCGGTTAGTGGGGTCTTCCTGCGGCATCGCTTTGGGACTCCCTGGCATCACTTTGGGTGGAGATCTTTGAGGTGCTGGGCCTGTTGGGAGTGAGCCCGCAGCACTTCATGCTTGGCGCGGCTCTCAGATCCGATTGAAGACCTGGAGCCACTGTTTGGCAAGTTTGGTGGATCCTTTTGGAGTCCAAGCCATGAGGTTCATGAAGGCTTGTTATGCAGAGTCTTTTTCCGAGGGGTGCAACGTTTGCGCCTTTTTTTTTTCCCCGCCTAGACGCGCACTGACCACTTTTCTTGCGGCCGGAGAGGGGTTCTCGAAGGGCAGCGCTGATCTTTGAACTGTGATGGTTGCCGCATGCAGGTCACACGTTGGCCTCGTGGAGGTTCTCGCTGGAATATGCGCAGCCCACAGATGCCAGTTTTGATCTCACAGCTGTGCTCAAGCATGGCCTGCGTCTTGAGGCCTGTTTCGGAGCCATGCTGACGAATGGTTGGGGTGAGCAGGCTCGCATTCACACCTCGTCATTCTCTTGCCCGTGCAGGCTGTTCCCCAGGTTGGGACTCTTTGGTGCTCCTACAAAGGGTCAGGTTGTGGGCTACAACCACCCACTCCCCCCCCCCCCCCCCCGTTATTGTGGCTTTGCGCTAGGCCGAGTTGCTGGTCATCTTGCGGCTGGTTCTTGCGCTCATCTCGGCGCCGCGGCTTGCGGGTACTTTTGAGGAATTGAAGAGACGTGAACGGCTGCATTCCTCGGCCGGGGGACTCGCCACCAGTCAAATGTAGGTCCCTTAGTTTTCCACGAGTGGCGATTCACACTGGAGCTGAAAAAGCAGGGGTTTTGGGTCCGCATGGTTGTCGCTGCTTAGGGGATCCTGGTTACAAGCTTCGCAGCCCCGGTCAGCGAGCAGCCGCCAGCTCAGATTGCGGCAGTTCCATCCAGATCCGTGGACATTGTCCGATTGGCGACTTGGAACAGAACAACAAAGCAGCAAGAACAAAACAGAACACAAAAGCAGAACACATGTGCCACCACGAACCCTGCTCACATCTGCTTGTTTGCTGTGCTTTAGTGCTATACATATATATATATATACATAAACATATATATATATATATGCTCGCCCCCCCCCCCAAAAAAAAAACATGTAGAAAAGGCTGATTTCAGGGGGTGGGGGGTAGATGGTTGCCTGTTCTGTTTTTTTATTTCACAATTCAACACGTGTTCTATCTTATTCGTTTTTTCAAGGCATATTTTGGGGGCAAGAAATAACGATATGAATGCGGTAACGAATTGATGATTTGGTCCCCTGTTTCGTTCCCGATTTCAACTTTTAGTTTTATTGATTGAAAGAGGTTAGACTTTAAGTTGTTTAAAGGTCTGGGTCTTGAGGCCAAACGATTTTGCAACAAGCTTCAGCACAATTCAGGCATTGCTTGGCTCATTTGGCTTGTTCTTTGTTCATTTTTGCGCTGCATGTGTTGCTTCCGTTGCGGTGGCTTCATTCTCAGGGCACCATTGTAGGCTTGGTCAATCACATCAGTTCTCGCACCGGCTATGCCCCTTCAGATTCAGAGTTTGACCCTTGGCTCGGACGTTCCGCCAAACCATGTGAAGCTTCATGGATCAAGTCATGAATCATGTCTTTGGCTGCATTAGTTTCACCACTTCTTTACCAAGAGCTTTCCAGAACTCGATGCGCAGATGCTCTTAGCTGTTGGACATTGCCAAGCATCCCACTTACAGTCACAACCTTTGTCTCAAGTCTTGCCATGCTACCGTGGCCGAAAGTGCGCCCGCGCGGTGGTGGCAAATGGTCAGACGCCAGCAGCATTCCAGGACGGATTTCCGCAAATGACTATGAGAAGTTTGTGCGGGAGAGGCTTTCGGGAAGCCAGCTTCAGCAATCCGAAGCGACCATCACAGCCCACCTCAGTCAAGATGCATGTGAGGCGCTCAACGAGTTGAAGCGCCAATCTGAGAGGGCATCAGCAGAAAGCTTGGGCGGGTTGTGGACAAAACTGTATTCGAGCACAACAGCCAACGACACACCAGCAGAGGCAACTGCTGTCACGGACGTCGTAGTGAATGCAGAGCGAGACCTTTTACAGTCACTGGGTGAGAATTCGCAATTGCTATTCGGCAATCGGGTTGTTCCAGAAGGCACAGTTGTGGAATGTACGGTGGTTGCAGCCTTGTTCTTCATGAAGTGTCACCAGCTGGAACGGTTTCTAACGCTGGCGGCTGAGGCTGGGCGCTCCGTACCTGCCGTAGCAATGGTGGTGAATAAGCTGCCCATTGAGTGCGCAGAAGAGTGGGTCAATGCGATTCAGCATTATCCATTTCTCAAGAGGAAGTATGCGCAGGGTTTCTTTAGCTTAGTCTACGTTCCTCACACCTTGAACATTCGTCAGGTTCAACAACAAGTTCAGCAGGTTAGACAAGAAGTTCAACAAGAAGTTAGACAAGAAGTTAGACAAGAAGTTAGACAAGAAGTTCAACGAGAGTTTCGCCTCCGTGACTTTGCCATTTTCCTCCTCATCATCTACAACATCCTGCTGCAAATCCAGCGTTGGAGTTCCCCATTGAGTAGTGGCGAATTGTGAGACCCTAGTGCAGAAATGGCGCAATCTGGTTTTGGAGAGGTTGACGCCCGCAGTGGGCGCAACTCTTTGCTATGACGCCGGTGCAGTCTTCATAAGGAGCTGAGATGTGGATAAACAAATGCGTAGCGAGAAAACATGTGGCCATCTTTGCGTCCTGATACTCCTCTGACTGCCCCAACAAGGACCAAGACCCAAAGTGAGTATCAGTCATATCCGCGTAGGACTCAAGTGTCAAGGGAGCAAACAGCAGATCGGCGGACGAGTTTGCAATGGATTACGATCGCCAAATTGTTCCCCAAATTTGGAATGGGGTGTCTACAATCAGGGGAACATCAGAGCACCATTTCCCACGGCATGACCCCCCGTTCCTCAAGGCAGGGGAACAGGGGAACATGTTCCCCAAGGCAGGGGAACAGGGGAACATTGTTCCCCAAGGCAGGGGAACAGGGGAACATTGTTCCCCAAGGCAGGGGAACAGGGAGCCCCAAAGTAGGGGAACAGGGAGCCCCAAAGTAGGGGAACAGGGAACCCCAAAGTAGGGGAACAGGGAGCCCCAAAGTAGGAGAACAGCGAACCCCAAAGTAGGGGAACAGGGAGCCCCAAAGTAGGGGAACAGGGAGCCCCAAAGTAGGGGAACAGCGAACCCCAAAGTAGGGGAACATCGAACCCCAAAGTAGGGGAACAGCGAACCCCAAAGTAGGGGAACAGCGAACCCCAAGGCAGGGGACAGGGGAACAGAACCTTCCAAACCCACCCCATTTTTAGTAGTTCCCGCATCTGCTTTTCGCTGAGGTTGTGAAGTCATGCCCTTCATCGTCTTCAACGCTGACGGGTTCTAGGTTTTGGGCTGTGGGTGGGCTGGGAGGGTTTTGTGGTTTTGGGGCTTTTGTGTGTTACTGTTACAGGGAGGGTTCAAACAAGACACTTTGAAGGCTCAAGTGGAGAAGGGTTGAGTTTTTAGGGTTGTGGGTCAGGGGTTGAAAACAAAGATTTCAGGAGTAGTGTGAGCCACTGCTTAAACTAAACTTTGTGGGAGTGTCATTACCAATCCACCCCTTAAGAACTTGCAATGCAAATTCCCTCGCCCCTCACAACAACCCTAGCAACCCAACGACCCCAACCCAACCCACGCCCAAAAACCACAGCAACTCACAAAACCCCAACCCTGAACCCCACTGCGTGCGCCTTGTATGTCAGAAGACACCACCCTCCTCTTCTTCAAGGTCTTTTGGGTCGGGTGGGTCAGGTGGTTTCTCTTACAAACCTAAACCGTTGTGTAAGGTTAAACTCTCACCATTTTTTTGTTTCAATGTTTAAGCCCAAACCCATTTTGAAGGCTCCCTTCTCACCAACCCCGTAAATCTCAACAAACACATTCCCATCAAAACAAGGGCAAAACCCACCATTTTTCAACTCCCTCAAAACCAACCAACATATAAACTTCAATGTTTTCAGTTTCAATCTCATCCCCAAACCCACATTTCAAGTTTGAGCCCCAACCCCAACCCAAACAACCCACCCAACCAAAACAACCATACCAACCGAACCTGTCCCTGAAAATAATTCTAATAATTTCATATTATTAGAACTATTTAGATATGAATATGTTTATTTACATATCGCCGGTGTTTGTCGCTTCGCTCGTGCCTTCTTATATCACATTTCCTGAAAACACCGCCACATTCAATAATTTATTTTCTTTTTTCTAGTATTGTTTCTTTGTTTTGGTGGTAATGCTCCCTACTTTTGTCACATATATGTTCTTTGTTCTTTTCAGAGTATTCCTTCCTCATATGTTGGTAATGTTCTTTATTATCCTCTTTCCACTCATTAAAAGTTCTTGCAGCAACACATCTATTAAACCAGTCAGTATTTTTAATGTAATAACCTTCTCTTTTAAGTAATTCTTCTCGACTTTCACACGGGGTAGTTTTCTATTAATTCAGTCTTACAGTTTTCCACTCCATACTCATCAAACAATAAGCCACAAGTTGTTTTAGTGTTCCATTCCTCTGCTTTCTTATGATTTTGCCTATGTCTTGCAATTCTTTGACTTAAGTTTTCACAGGTGCTTCCAATGTAGCATTTGTTATAACCAATATCTGTTACTTGGTAAATCTTCGCCGCATTTCTATATTTACTGCTCTCCATAAATAACATAATGTATCTTCTCTTTAACACAGTTTGTGATGACCATATAGTAATGAAGTAAAAGTATCATAATAATATATTAAATTCTCATAATTACTGAGTGATTGTTTTACTTGAGACATTGAATATATTTGATGAGATTTACTCCTAATAAAATTATATGTTATTTCGTGTTTTTTGTTGTGATGCAGTGCTTCGTGGTAGTTCTGATAGGTCAGTTCCTTCTTCACCTTGTGCTTGACGACGCCTTTGGATTTCCTGTGTTCCTCATTCTCGCCGTGGATTGTGAAAGCATAGGATTTAGGTTTCAACCCGATAAATCTAGTAATGATTTTTCCGTTGACTTCATCTTTGTACATTCCTAAGACCTTCTTATTTGTTGTGTCATGGCACGGATGTTCAACAGGATAATCGCTAAAATCCATATGTTGCTTGATACCTTGAAAATCCTTGTAGACATCATCAGTGAAGGTTTGGATTACATAGCTGTCAGTATCTGTATATATCAATTTGATGTTTTCGTTGTATTTCTTTTTCAACACACCATAGTAAAACTCATACATATGTAATTTACTCAAATCCAACATTGTCATTCCTAAGAATATGGGTTTATCAAGTTTCAAAACCGACTTTGTTTTTTCCACTCCTACCATATTTTAATTAATGATATTTTTTTTGAATGTAGGATTATTCACACACTTTTCATATCTAACATCATTATCTACCAATTCGAAATCCATATGCTTTCTCTTGTCTTCCATAGTTTTTCCATACACCGCGTTATTCATTAATTTAAACAAATCCTTCTCAAAGTCGCTCTTCGCTTCTTTCCTCTTACCAGTGTTGAAGTCAATCCACGGTTTCAACCAAGCCCTCTGTTGAAATTTTATTATCCTATGAACCTTGGTGAGTTTCATATCCATTTTTAGATAATACTGTAAAGTCTTGATATGAACAACATATTTTTCTTTATCTTTCAAATTTAATATTAACTTGCTGGTTTTCTCGTCCTTCGGTTCTTTGTTTCCATAGTAGATTTTGTAGATTTCCTTTTGATAGTCTGACAACATATTAGCATTGACATTCATTATTTCCGGTGCTAGTGGATAGTCCGAATGGTAGTCATGTAGTGTTTCTGGATATTCCAAATCCACTTCAAGGATGAAACCATACTCATCTTTTTCATCCCACTTTTCAATGTTAGGTGTTTTCTTTGTCCATTTGATGTTCTTTAAAGGCAATTTTTGAGACATCGCCAGACCATACAGATTGTTAGCATCTAAGTAATTGATATAACTTGACGGTTTACTTTCATCAAAGGCTTCATCCATATACTTATTGTTAGCCACAGCCAGTTTATGACTGACCTGACACATACCTCCTCTCATTCCCTGTTCAACCATCTCATACATTTCTTTATCGTGTAACTGTTCAATTTCAACACCTGTTTTCAACAACATAGCTTCCCAAGCGAAGTTAGGAAGTGTATAATAGTGTGCGGGGTCCAAACCGTAGTATTCCATACATAAGTCTCTAAAGTTGTCAAAAACATCAGTCAATAATAAAACATCGGTTCTCAAATACAAATCGTGATATTGTCCTAATGTTCTGATACCGAAGTGTTTCCAAACCTTTTGTGCCCTTTCATAATCTTTGTCGTTGACATGTTCCTCACTTAATTTACTGTAGAACGCTTCTTTTGGCGGTAAGTTTCTTTCAGTAAATCTGTCAAAACTATCAAACTAGTCATAAGGATAAATCCCCTTGTCAGTCAACAAGTCCAAATCTTCATCGGTTTTAACATATGGATTTCTAACACTGTATCTAAAATTGTTCTTCCAGTTCTCACGCCTTTTATCATCTTCATACTTACTCAACTTTACCAACTTATCCAACGAAGACGATAAGAAGCTAAAACTGTCCTTGAAACAAAGGTTTTTAAAACCAAAGGTTATGAACTTCTCGCTGTTCTGTGCGATGCAATCGATTTTAGCATTCTTGCTCAGTTCGTGTGCCTTGTTGATGATTAAGTGAGCGTCATAGTTTTTAAGGTTATGAAGGAAGACTGGTATTTTATAATATCTCATACTAAAAGCAAGATTACAATCATCATGAGCACAACCTCTATATTTACCAGTAAAATGGCAATGGTCACGAACCTTCTTATCTCCTTCCTGAAAGCCCTTTCCACAAACGAAACACTTAGTGGCAGTGTCAAAATCTGTTTTATCGTCCTCAGTCATGATTTTCTCTTTCACTTCCTTCATTTTCTTTATGACATCCTGTCTGACTTCATTCATTTTCTCAACGAACTTATCCATACAATCTTCGCCTCTGTATAAATAGGGCTCACTGCTTCCAGTGATGGCATTGACTACATTAATCATAAAACCACAAGGGCGATGATTTTGATACGATGTTGTTGTCGCTTTTGTCGATTTGCTTTTAACATCAATGGGCACTGTTAAACATTCAAAGTCGGCATATATTACATAAGGTGCTTTCAGTTTCTTAAAATGGTTCTTAAATTCAATGGTAGCTCCTACCTCTGGCATTTCTATTTGTTGTCCTTCAACCGCTAGACAACCCTGTTGTTCGTGTTGTTTTAATAACTATTCTGACTTGAAACCGTGTGAGCACGTCCTACAATGATGTTTTTTCCTATTTGTTTTGTTGGTTTGGCTTCCCATCAACTTGTTATAGTTCTTGATGTAGACATAGTGCGAGTTGGCATTGTCTCCAGTCAGCTTTATTAAATCAATCTTTCGTTGTGCTTGGGGGTTGTTGCTTCTTTTGTATAATAAAGTTGTTTTACTATTGGCATCAGGATTGATGTAATAAACATTGACCGATATGTGTTTGTTCTGTTCTTCAAATTGTTCAATCTCATCATTGCCTACAGGAAAGTTTATATTGTCCCATTTAATAGACTTGTCACCTTTGGTGCCTTCCTTCGTCGGGTCATCAACATACTTTTTA